GGGTGGACGGGGACTGCGCGCGTGCTAGGCAAGCAAGCGCTCTACCAACTGGGCCACACCCTCAGACCTCAAGCAGACATTTGTACCCACACTTAAAATATACAACCTGAAGGAGACCCCTGAACAGTGGGGGCTTTCTCCTTGGACCCTGGATGAGGCACAAACCACACCCTAGCTGCTTTCTGACTGAGGCAGAAAACAGCAGGGAATGACCTTGCAGGTGTGACTTTTTTTTTCTTTTTCTTTTTTTCCGGAGCTGAGGACCGAACCCAGGGCCTTGCGCTTGCTACCACTGAGCTAAATCCCCAACCCCCTTTTTTTCTTTTTCTGAGACAGGGTTTCTCTGTGTAACAGCCATAGCTGTCCTGGATCTCGTTCTGTAGACCAGGCTGGCCTGGAACTCACAGAGATCCGCCTGCCTCTGCCTCCCGAGTGCTGGGATTAAAGGTGTGGGCCACCACCGCCCAGCCTGCTGGAGCAATTGTTAAGAAGAGAAAAAGGGGAGGTCTGTGTTGGAATGGGCTAAGACGCGGTGGTAAAGGAGACAGAGGACAAGGGAGAAGAGAAGGGACAAGGAAAGGGGGCGGGGTATTTGTCCTGGAGGACAGAGGACCACCTCTGGATAGAGAGGAGACAGACGTGGCACATAGGCAAATGGCAGTTTATAAAAGTAAAGAGGAAACCCCACGTTAGGATGAGGTGTTTACTTTTAATTGGGCATGTTAATTAGGGGAGCCAAAGGGGGCTTTTGACGCTGGACTTCAATACTTTGATAGCTGGACCTTGGTAGCAGCCTCAGGAGGAGGAAGAGGCCAAATAAGGAATGGACCTTGGGGGTTAGCTTTAGGGATGTAATCTAATGGTTTTCACCAAGGCAGAGGGAATGGGGGGAGGGGAGCACGGAGGGCGAGGTCTGCCAGAGCCACAAGTTCGAGTGGGCTAGCGTCGCTTCACAACCAACTTTCTGGTTTTTTGTTTTTTTTTTTAATTATGTGTGTGTATGTGAACACACTTGTTCATGCGCGGTCATGGGAGAACACATGGTACATGTGCTTTGCGGAGGTCAGCAGACAATTTGCATGAATTAATTCTCTCCTCTATGGGTCCCAGGGAGAGACCTCGGACTAAGTGGCAAGTGCCTTTACCTGCTGAACCATCTCGCTGGACCCTTTCCCCCTTATTTGATAGACAGTGAAATTGAGGTCGAATAAAGGTACTTAACTAACCAGTGATGCCCCAGATGGCTTGTGTGACCCTGGGATCTGAGCCAAAGTGCTTGGCTTTGCGGTACACGCATGTGTCGTAGAAGATGTTCAAGACTCCCGAGCAGCTGAAACTCGGTGCTGCGGCTCCGCACCACCATCCCCAGACTCCCCCCCCCCCCCCCCCCCCCCCCCCGCAGCATCATATTGCCTTCACATCCTGTTGACGCTTCTTGCGCTTATGAAGCCTGAGGTGACCACACTAGTCAACACAATTGATCTCGGGAACAGCACCCCCTCCTGTAATCTCATCCCTTGGGAGATGCAGAGGGGAGGATCAGGGTTGAAGGCCATTCTTGGCAATGTAGTAAGTCGGAGGCCAGCCTGGGATATATGAGATCGTATATCGTAATCGATTCTGCTGCCTGTCTGCCTGCGCGACCTCACTGCTGGGTGTTTGCTATGGAGTCAAGCAACAGTTTCTTCTTTCTCAACCGTCTCACCGCCACTGGACAAACACGAGCGTCCACCACCGTCCCGGAGACTGGCTGGGTGGCGGAATGTTGGCCCTGGAGGATTTCCAGTCTATCTGAGAGGCTCCTGAGGGTCTCTGCTGATGCAGCATCCTGACGAGATGGGAGAACCGCCTCCTCAGAACAGAAGTAGACGCGGCCTGTGGGGACTGGGTGGGGGCAGCTAACCTGGAGTCTGCTGAGCAGAACACACGGAGCCCAAGATGCTACATTCAAACCCCGTGTTGCTGTGGTTGGTGTAGAAACCACGACCAAAGGAGCCTGGCAGCCTGGAGAATGCCACTACTTACGGCGACACAAACACCTGACCAAAAAAAAAAATCAACTTAAGGAAGGAAGGCTTTGTTGGGCTCACAGTGCGGTGCCGTCCATCGTGACTGGCAGGAGCTCGAGACGGCTGGTCGGGAAGCAGAGGGAGCAGGATGCTGACACTCAGCCCCTTTCTCCTCAGGCAGCCCAGCACCCCAGCCCGTGCAGCGGCTCTGCCCCATTCAGAGCAGGTCTTGCCTCCTCAATGAACTCAATCTAGAATTTCTCTGACACACATGGCCAGGAGTTTGTCTCCTAGGTGACTCTAGGTCCTTTCTAGCTGATGGCAGTAACCATCCCAGAGGGTGGGGGAAAGTGCTGGAAAGTCAAGGGTGCATAAAGAAGACTCCAAACCCAGCAGCGGGCGGGGCTCAATCCTCTCTCTCTCTCTCTCTCTCTCTCTCTCTCTCTCTCTCTCTCTCTCTCTCTTTTCCTCTCCTCCCTCTCTCTCTCTCTCTCTCTCTCTCCTCTCTCCCCCCCCTCTCCCCTCTCTCCCCTCCTCTCTGTCCTCTCTCCCCTCTCTCTCTCCTGTCTCCTCTCTCTCTCCTCTCTCCCCTCTCTCTCTCCTCTCTCCCCCCACTCTCTCTGTTCTCTCTCCCCCCTGCTTCTCTCGCTGTCTGAGACAGGGTCTCACCATGTGAGCACGGCTGGAAAACTCTCTATGTAGACCAGATTCGCTTCGACCTTGAAGCAATCCTCCTGCCTCTACCTCTTGAGCTCAGGGGTGACAGGCAGGAGCCATCACACCTGCCGGTCCTTGATTCTCCACCGCAGGAGACTTGTTTAACCTGCTTAGTCATCCCTCTCTCTTCCCGTCACCAAAAAAGAAAGAGTGAGAGAGGAGAGAGACCATCTGTCCCCGAGGACAGACACACGGAAACCAGGAGAGAAACAAGAAGACGCAGAGAGATGGGGACCTTTGGGTGTGTGCCTGCATTGAGAATTGGAAAGCAAATGCCAGGCGGAGAGAAGCCAGGCAGCCGCCCCCTCCCTCCCCGGCGGTGTGTGTCTAGGCGGTACACAGTTGACTCCCAGAGCGAACCGTTTTCAGATGTAAGGACCCCGGAAATGTCAACACTATTTTCACTCCCTCTGCCGCCGCTGTTCATCCCCGTCACACCCCTCCCTACTGGGTGGGTGAGCATCGGCTCAGAATGAATCCTGTTCTAGTTCTGAAGCCACAATTAAAATAAGCACTTTAGGCTGGAGACCTGCAGACCTTTGACCCCGCACTCCCACGCCTAGGAATTTGTCCTAAAGAGAAGACTCCCGGGCCTGGGCAGAGAACTTAGCATGGATTGTTCCTCCTGGTATATTTATATATTATAATTCATCTATTTGTGTTTTATGTTTATGAACACCATGCAATGCCCACAGAGGCCAGAAGGGGGCGTTGGATGTCCTGGAACTGGAGTTACAGATGGTTGTGAGTCCTAGGTGGGTGTTGGGCCTTGAGCCTGGGTCCCCTGAGAGAGCAGCCAGTGGTCTTAATCACTGAGCCATCCTTCCAGTCCTGTGGCAGGCTAATCTCTAAAACTGTATGCGTGGGGGTGGGGGGGTGGGAGTGGGGGGGTTTGAGTGAGAATCTCCCCCATAGGATCTGATGTTTGAATGCTTGGTCCCAGGTTGTGTGAACTGTTTGGGCAGGTTCAGGGGGTGTAAGGCAGCCTTGCTGGAAGAGGTGTTTCCCAGGGGATGGGCTGTGAGCTAAAGAGCCTGAGCCATTCCCAGTTAGCGCTCTCTCTGCCCTTGGCTTGTGGTTCCAATGGTGAGCCCTCAGCTTCCGCTCCGGCCGCCATTTCCGCTGCTTGCTGCCGCGTTCCCATGTCATGACAGACTCTTCGCCCTCTGCCCCGAGCCCAAGCCAGCCCTCCTCCCTTGTGTTGTCTTGGTCGTAGTGTTTTCTCACAGCGGCGGAAACGTAGCCAATACAGCGTGTTCCCTGGTGGGTGTGCGCGCACCTGTGGGCGTCAGAGCACAACTTGGAGGAGTCAGTCCCCTCCTTCTACCTTGTGGGTCAGGTTGCCAGGCTTGGCAGCAAGGGACTTTACCCACTGAGCCATCTCACAGGCCAGCTTTCTTTTCTTCCCTCCCTCCCTCCCTCCCTCCCTTCCTCTCTTCCTCTCTTCCTTTTTTGTTTGTTTGTTATTTTTTTGTTTTTCAAGATAAGATTTCTCTGTATATCCCTGGCTGTCCTAGAACTCGATCTGTAGACCAGGCTGGCCTCGAACTCACAGAGATCCGCCTGCCTCTGCCTCCCGAGGGCTGGGATTAAAGGCGTGCGCCACCACCTGGTTACAGGCTATTTTGTTAAAAGACATTATAAACTTGTGTTTCGACAGGCATGGTGACACAGGTCTGTAATTACAGCACAGAAGAGGTGGAGGCAGGTGGATCTAGAGTTCAAGGTCATCATCCACTGCAGTAGTGAGTTCAAGGCCAGCCTGGGTTACATATAGGGGCCAACAGGAGGGTTCAGTAGGTAAAGGTGTGGCTTGCTGCAGAGCCTGACGGTGAGTTCAGTTCCTGGAACTGACACGGTGAAAGGGGAAACTGACTCCAGGAAGTTGTCCTCTGACGGCCACAAGCATCCTGTAGCACCTGTACACACACACACACACACACACACACACACACACACACTAAAAACAGGGCCAGGGGAATGGTCCCAGGGGTAAAGAGCTTGCTGGAGGCATGAGGACCTGAGTTCAGGTCCCCAGGACCAACATTAACAGCTGAGTGTGGAGTTGTGACCTTGAAACCCAGCACTGGGGTGGGGGTGGGGCACAGAGAAGAGGATCCAGGGGCTGGATGGCCGGCTGGTCAGGTGGGGACTGTGAGCTCCAGGGTCAGTGAGAGATCACGTCCTCTATGTGCACATGCAAAGGGAGGTGCGCGCGCACGCACACACACACACACACACACACACACACACACACACACACACCGAAACAAGTAAACAACAAATACGTAGGCATTTATTGGCAAATAAATATATACATCACATAGTAGGTTTAAAAAGTAAGCTACAAGTGTGTACAATAATACATAGCCCAGCTCCCTGTGGGAGTGAAAACAACATAGATGATCTAAGGAAATAGGCCAAACATCCATTTCCGGGTGGAGGAATTCTGAGGCTGTCTTTTTCTTTCCGTTTCTCTGCATTTCTGCCTTGTTTTGGTTTGTTTGGGTTTTTGTTGTTGTCGATTTGTTTTTTTTTTGTTTGTTTGTTTGAGGCAGGGTCGTGTAGCCCAGGCTATCCTCAGACTCCCGATCCACCTGCCTGCCTCCACCTCCCGCATACAGGGACCGCAGTAGACTTGTGGCTGCATGCCTGCCTGCATCTGACTTGTCTGGCGTGTCCCCACATGAGTAGGTGCGCTTCCTGTGACAGAAGCACAGGTCCCTGCATCGTCCCGGGCACCGCCACTGCTCTCCAGACCCGTAGAACAAGCTGAAGCAGGGCTGAAGAGGAGGTCAGTGACCTCCGTCAGCCCGTGAAGAACTCAAAAACAGAGCTGGAGCGGTGACTCAGCAGTTAAGAGCACCGGCTGCTCTTTCAGTGGTCCTGGGTTCGATTCCCAGCACCCACTTGGCAGCTCACAACCACCTGCAACTCCAGTTCCAGGGGATCTATCACCCTCTGACTTCTGGGGGAACCTGTAAACTCATGGTGCACGTAACTGGGGCAGGGATATGCATACATAAATAATAAACAGTTTTAAACAGTTCATCTGATGGTGATGCATGCTGGGAAGTTGGGTGAAGGGGGATCGGGAGTTCAAGGTCACTCTTGGCTATATAGTGAGTGAGGAGTCTGAGGCCAGCCTGGGCTACGTGAAACCAATTCCCAAAAGCACATGTCTCCATTCTAACTTGCCTTCTGGATGAGACCAGTTCAGTGACCCGAAACCTTGTAGCCATATGCCAGGACCACTCCCCCGCTGGCCACCACCCTCCTAGAGGGGAGATGCTGTTTGCTCATGCCTATGCATGCTAAGGTTGAAGTTGCTGAAATTGCCAGGCTTCCGGCTCCCAGGAAGGAGCATGAGTGGTGGGCTCACAGCAAAGGACGGGGTCCCTACTACTAATGCAGATGTCGTCTGGGTGTGGGTGATGGTTCGGAGTCAGAAAAACAACAACATTAAACTAACATTTCCTGCCTGTGTGACTGCAGGCAAGACACTTACCCTGCCTCAGTGTCCAGATCTGTATAATGGTACTCCAGCATTAGGAGCGTGGTCTCCAAGGTTAGACCAGTGGCGTACAATCTGTGAACTATAACATGTGACAGGAATAAACTGTCCTTTCATTGTGTCCAAATTGTCGTGTGTGACGTTGGGCAAGTCAGTTTCCTCCTCTGTGTGTCTGCTCACGACCGATGGCGAGGCACTCGGAACGCCAGACTCTCCGAGCTGCAAAGACTCAGCCCTTCACGCCCACGCTCGGATCTCGTTGATAAGCTGACGGCGCAGCACATGCAGCCTCCGCCTGGCTGCCTCCCACGGCGGAGAGCGAGCTCGTGACCGCACACGTCCCTCTTGCATATTCATGACAGGAACTTACAGCGAAATTTTCCATAGGAGGCATTTGTTGAAGGACTGGTGGTGTGGTTCAGTGGTCAGGAACAGGCTTACCTTGTGCAAAGCCCCGAGTCCACTCCCTGGCACCAAGAAAAAATAATAGTTGTACGACTGGAGAGATGACTCATTGGTTAAGAGCACAAATGCGTGAACCGTTCCGTATATTTTTTTTTTTGTTTATAAAAAGTTCAAGTTTTTTTTTTTTTAAAAAAAAAGAGCACTTGCTGCTCTTGCAGAGGACGGAAGTTCAGTTCCCAGCAGTCATGTCGGACGGCTCCCAGCTGCGGGGATCCTACACCTTCTTCTAGCTTCTGTGAGCGCGCACGCGCATACACACACACACACACACACACACACACACACGTGCACATACTTACACATGAATAAAAATAAATTTGATACAACCTGCTTGTCGGAAAGGGACTGGAGCTAAGTTGTCAGAGTTCGTGCCCGGCATGTATGAAGCCCTGGGTTCTCTCCCCAGCTCAGCATAAACCAAGCACGGCACAGGCTGTAATCCCAGCACTACTGCGGGTACAGTAGGATCAGGAGTTCAAGGTCATCTTCTGCTACTCAGTGAGGGTGAGGCCTGTCCAGGGTATGTGGCCTCTAAGCATAAGAATCTCATACGGGCCGGGCGGTGGTGGCGCACGCCTTTAATCCCAGCACTCGGGAGGCAGAGCCAGGCAGATCTCTGTGAGTTCGAGGCCAGCCTGGGCTACAAAGCGAGTTCCAGGACAGGCGCAAAGCTACACAGAGAAACCCTGTCTTGAAAAAAAGCCAAAAAAAAAAAAAAAAGAATCTCATACGGGACTCTCAGAAACCCACCTGGTAGCGGACCTCAGGCGTGGGCATAGGCGGCTGGGGGAGCTGTCTGCAGGGAGAAAATATCTTTTAGCCACTGAAAGTTTCTGTTGTGTGGTCACACATGGTCAGAAGCAGGACACCCGGGTCCCTAGCTGTGGGAGACCTGGGACTTCCTCCTTCATGGCTCTGTGCTGTCCGCAATGGCGGGCCTGTTCCTGAGTACCCCAGGCTTGTGGATCCCAGGCCTCGTCCCTATGAGCTGTGGGGTGAAGTGGTGACATCATTGAGGGCACCCCCGTGGGGGGGGTCTGCTCCCACTTTTCCCCCCAGGGTACTCTTGAGCAGGGAGAAGTGAGAAATATTTAGATAGAAATATAGAGGAGAGAGACAGAAACGCAGGACAGCCTCAGGAGGGCCTGGGTCAAAACCCACCGGCCCCTTCTGTCTCTTCTAAAGAAGGGCTTTTAAAGGAACGCCAAGGGGTGGAGCAAAAGACCTCCCTGAGCACAGCCAAGTGCAGACCATCCCAAGCACCTGGTGACCACGCACATGGCACATGGTCAAGTCATCCCTAGTGCAGCCCTGCTGTGTAAAGCAAGCTCAGATCTCACTAGGAGACCTCTGTGGACCCCAACACCCGCCCCCCATTAGTCCTGTGCTGCTGGCTCATGGTGCACCTCCCCTCTGTTTCCCTCCACAGAGGAGTACCTCAGAGTGCTGAACGCGGGCCTGGCCGAGGTGAAGAAGTACTTCCTGGGACCTCTGTCCCCGTCCTGCAAGATGGTACAGATGATGCGACAGTTTTTGTACAACGTGCTGCCTGAAGACTCCTACAAGTTCGCCACCGGGAAGCTGCACGTGAGCCTCACCAGAGTCACGGACGGAGAGAACGTGGTGGTCTCAGAGTACAGGTCCAAGGAGGAGCTCATCGAGGCAAGGCCCTGACTGTGCCGCCCCTGGGGGACCCTGGGCAGCCCCGTGCAGCACGGTCCCAGCCCCGTGCAGCATCGTCCCAGCCTCCTCCCTTCCTCCCTTCCCTGATTGCCTGGCTCTTTGCTTCCTCCCTGCCTGCATCTCTGCCAGGAGCAGTTTCACAGGAGGTGACAGACAGAGGCCCGCCACCAGCCGGAGTCCGCCACCAGCCCGATGACTTCCACACCATGTTCCCTTCCTCTGCCTTCATCCTGAAGGGCCTCAGGGCTGAATCTGGGGTTTTAGAAGCCTAGTGGTGGCCCCCCAAGTCCAGAGACCTCCAGACCTGGGTCTCAGCGTACCCCCAGCTTTAGAAAGGATAAGGAACAGTACCCATGTTCCCGCTCGGTCCTCATGAGCCCTGACAGAGATTGAATTATCTGGCTGGGGCTGTAGCTCAGTTGGTAGTGTCTGCCTACCCCGCAGGAGGCCCTGGGTGCCACCCCTACATATAAGCAGAGGTGATCAGAAGTTCAAGGCCATCCACACACAGCAAGGCTGAGACCAGCTGGAGCTACAGGAGACCCTGTCTAGAAAGGTGGGGGCCACTTTAAGAGCACCTGTTGTTTCGAGGATCCAAGTTTAGTCATCAAGTCCACATTGGGTGGTGAGCCACCGTCTGTAACTCCAGCTCCAGGGGATCCAAGGGATCCAATGCTCTTTTCTGGCCTCTTGGGCATTTATACACAGGGCACACAAACACACATACACACACACACACACACACACACACACACACACACACACACACACACACACACATACATACACATAAATAAAAATAAATATTTTTATTTTATTTATTTTATTTAAATTTTTATTTTTTATTTTATTTTATTTTATTTATTTATTTATTTATTTATTTTTTTTTGGTTTTTCGAGACAGGGTTTCTCTGTGTAGTTTTGCGCCTTACCTGGAACTCGCTTTGGAGACCAGGCTGGCCTCGAACTCACAGAGATCCGCCTGGCTCTGCCTCCCGAGTGCTGGGATTAAAGGCGTGCGCCACCACTGCCCGGCTTATTTTTATTTTTTTGAGACAGTTTCTCTGTGTAGCCTTAGCTGTCCTGGAATTCATTCTGCAGACCAGTATGGCCTCAAACTCAGAGATCTGCCTGCCTCTGTCTCCTCATTACTGGGATTAAAGGTGTGCACCCCCACCACATGGCATAAATATTTTTAAAAAGGATTAATGGGGCTGAAGAGATGGTTCAGTGTTTAAGAGCACTGGCTGCTCCTCCAGAGGACCTGGGTTCAGTTCCCAGCACCCACATGGTGGCTCACAAGCATCTGTAACTACATTTCCAGGTGCTCTGATCCCCTCTTCTGACCTCCACAAGCACTAGGCATACAAGTTGTGCCCAGATATGTTGGTGAAACATTCATACACAAAATAAAATAAATCTTTAAAAATAAAAAATAAAAGCCGGGCTGCGGTGGTGCATGCCTTTAATCACAGCACTCAAGAGGTAGAGACAGGTGGATCTCTGTGAGTTTAAGGCCAGCCTGGTCTACAGAGTGAGTTCCAGGATAGTCAGGGCTGCACAGAGAAACCCTGTCTCCAAAAAAAAAAAAAAAAAAAAAGTCAATAAACAAAAAATGGTTGACTTTTCCCTCCACGGTTTCCCGCTTAGATAAGTTCACACCCACCCTGACGTGGATGGCACTGTGCTGAGCTGGAGCTCTCGGATACAGATTCCAGTGATCAGCTGTGACCACTGAGCAGACCCGGCTTTGCTCAGCTTTCCTTCATGAGACTGTCCATCTGCTCTCTCCACTCTCCTCCACTCCCCAAGCCTATGTCCAGCTCTCAGCATCCTCTGCTCAAGTCTGGCCCAGTCCAGGGGTTGGGGTGAGCAAACAGCAGACCCCTAAGGTGACTCGTTCTCCACTCTTTGAGGGACACCCCCTCACGCCATGGCTGCCATGGCTGCGGTCTCCCTCCCAGCCTCTCCCAGCTCCTGCTCTTATCACGACATCACAGCTCACCACACCCAAACCAGGCCACATCTGCTTCAAGCTATTCCTTCTGGCTTCCGGTCCAGCCTCCGCTGCTTACCATATTCCTGTCCCTTCATCCCGCCCTGCCTTGCCTCCTCCTCTGGGGCCACATCAGCCATGCTCACCTCCTTCACCTCTTTGCTATTGTACACTCCCAAGGACGGCGTCTCAGCCTCCTTTGAGGCCAGGGCCTGGTCCAGGACGGCCGCAGGTTCACGGAAGGCTGGTGGTCAGCAGTGCCCCTGGATATGTCAAGGCCACCCCCTCTTTAGGACATCGGGTCTGACTAACCCAGTAGACTACCTAAGACCCTACTAAGGATAGCATGGGAATTGAGTGAAAGACTCTGTGTCCCAGGCCAGTACCCTTACTTTAGGGAACTGGGGACCGGTAGGGGTCAGGGGTCAGTGGCACCTGTGTGTCTTTACCACCTACTCCAGGGCCTGTGGCATCTCAGCCCGTCTCTCCTCTCCGCAGGCCCTGTACTGCAGCTGCTTTGTTCCTGTCTACTGCGGCTTCATCCCCCCGACGTATCGGGGTGAGGTGAGTGACTGGGTGAGCTGAGACCCTGGGGCGTCCTAAGGGGAGGAACATTTTCCACACAGAATTCCTCATGTCGATGGATGCCTGGATTTTTAAGAGGGGCCTCCTCTAGACCCACCCACCCTGTAGAGGACTCCGAAAGTCAGGGTTCCAAGGCTTGCCGCATTCTCCCAGAAGACAGTGCGCAGAACGCAGGGCCCTGAGACCCTGCCTGAGGAGACCTTCGGGGCCATCTGGGCCAGTGGTCACAGGCTTCCATGTGCCCATGATTAACTCCGAGGAGTCCTAAAACAACCTGCTTCAGAAGATCTGGGCAGGCCAGGATTCTGCACCTCTGGCTGGCCTCAAGGTGACCATTGACCAGTCTCCTGGCTACAGTCTGAGTCGTGGGGCTGTAACCCCTGGTCCAGCCAGACATTATGCTCTGTCAGCAAGCCTTTTTCAGGCTCCCACGGGGCACAGAACCTCTGTACTGGTCACCTCTTGTTCAGTTCATAGGAGAGGAAACTGACAGGAGCCCCACCCCCACCCCGAAAGAAAGGAGCTGGAGGTGGGTGCGCTGTGAGGCCGTGGGAGGGGCGGGGTCTCCATGGACACCACACGGAGGCCCGTATCACCAGGATGGCAGAGGGAGGCCAGTCCAGGGTCAGAGCGGTAGGTTAGGCGTCCTGAGGCTACTGTGGACACAGCAAGTGACCTTGCTCCACACCACCCACCATTGATTTTGGGGACCTCAGCCTCAAGGCTGGTCCCAAAAGGTCTTGTGGCCCTGATGTCCCATGGCCGCAGTTCCTCCATGTCCTCTCTGGTTGAGTGTCTCTCTTCCGCGCAGAGGTACATTGACGGTGGCTTCACCAGCATGCAGCCCTGTGCCTTCTGGACGGACTCCATCACCATCTCCACCTTCAGCAGCCAGCAGGATATCTGTCCGAGAGATTGCCCTGCCATCTTCCATGACTTCCGAATGTTCAACTTCTCCTTCCAGTTCTCGTTGGAGAACATCACCCGCATGACACATGCGTTGTTCCCCCCAGACCTGGTGGTGAGAGACAGGACGGGCAGGGTGGGACCCGGATCGGGGGGACCCCGGTGCTGCGGCTCTCCCCTCAAAGGGTCCAGGGTTTTTCCATGTTTAAAAGATTGCTAGAAACGAACAGGGCTCAACTGGCTGAGCAAGCTTGAAGCCCTGGGTTTGAGCCCCAGTACTGCATAAACTGAGCACAGGGATGCACATCTGTAACCCCAGTGCTGGGGATGTGGACACAAGTGGATCAGGAGTTTAAAGTCATCCTTAGATGCACAGGGAGTTCGAGGTTAGCCTGAGCTACATGCCAACCTGTCTCAAAACAAACAAAATCCCGCGGCAGAATCTGTGGTTGGCAGAGACCAAAGTGTTTCCAATCAGCCCTCCTCAGAAAAAGCTTTGTGGAGGGAACCTCTCACACACCCCTCCCAACATCCTCTGCAAAGATACCGCCATTATACCCATTTGACAGGTAGAGAAACTGAGACTGTGAATGGTTACAACCACACAGCCAGTGAAGGGTAGCGCTGGGACTTGAACCCAGACCCCAAACACTATCCTTCCTATGACCCAGATGTGCAGTCTCTGGTTCCCCAGAAACACCCAACGCTCTCCTGTAGGAGAGGTTGGTGACACTCTGGCAGCGGGAGACTGACATGCTGCCACCCCCACCATGTCAACAATTGCTTCCCAGCTCTCCTGGGCAGACAGAGCGGAGAGTGCAGCCCAGGGCTTGTGGACATGGCCTTGGGTAGGAGGGGGGTGTCAGCATGCAGAGCGTGCCTATGGGCGGGGTCAGTGACTCTCTTGGTGGCCGCAGCCTCGTTCCTTTTCCTGTGTCACCGCCCAGATCCTGCAGGATTACTACTATCGGGGCTATGACGACGCCGTTTCATACCTGCGGAGGCTGAGTGAGTAGCTAGGGCCTGGGGAAGGGAGGGCAGGGAGTATGGCAGGGGTGGGAATGGAATTCTGGGTAGAGGACTGTTCCTTAGGTATAGCCAAGAAAGCTGGGCACGAGGGGACCCGGCAGCCTGCCCAGCCCTAGACAGGCCACTGTGGCTGTGGGCTGACATGTGGGTCAGTGCCCAGGCTATTTCTAAACACACATTTATGAAATTCAAAACAAAGCAGTTCGGTTGGTAGAGTGTTTGCCTGGCATGCCCAAAGCCCTGGGTTCAACCCCCAGCATTGTGTAAGACAGGGGTGGTGCGTGAGTCGATGCTGGCACTCAGAGAAGGCTAGAGGACCAGAAGTTCAAGGTCATCCTTGGCTATAGCTTCTT